TGTCACACTTCCGGTTATATTAACTTCCTGTACGTAATACTAGATCCAGTCTCCTACTGTTATATAAACACGCGTACTCACCATAGCCGCCATATTGTAACATATTTTCAATAAAGCTAGTTTCAAATAAAACGTGCAAGTTTACACTCTCCACCGGATGTAATGCACGGGTAACTGCGTACTTGAAGCACATATTGTCTTCATTTTTTATGTTGATAATCGTTTTCTTGTTGGTAATGAATCTGGGAAGTTCCGAAAACCCGGCTCCCCTCACAATCTGATACTTCATCTTTACAACCTTCTTCAAAGTCCATCCGGAGCCGTTCTTCTGAAATTCGGAAATGTCGTTTGAAATCTTTTCCGACGCTTCGTCGTACTTTTCCGAGATGTTGGTTGTAGGAAAGATGTTGGATGTAAAACTACTTGGATAATAGCTGTCCGTCGTGACCTCTCCCGTGATAGGATCCGTCTTTTTCTTGATGCATTCTAACCGAATCTCTTCACGGACTCGATCAGTTTCAAAACCTCCTCCTTCGACAGGGACAGGACCTGCTTATGGGTTAGCGGAGCGGTCACGGAAATCGTGTACTCACTTACCGTTTTGCCGCGTGCGTGCTTGATGTCTGTAATGACTGGGGTGAAACTCAATTTACTTCGTTTGCCCCAAGTCTTACTCAGCTTGTCCTCCAGTTTTAACTGAAGCTGACCAAACTTCTTGCCTTTCCACCTATCCTCTTCAATCCTACAGTTCTGCTCAGCACGTCTCTCCCGTGCTTTCTCGTTCCTCCTCAACCTTTGCGATTCCTTCTTCCACTTCCGGGCTTCGACCTTCCAGTGTAAAACCCCTTTCCGCCGTTTCTTCTCCTCCTTCCCAATCTCTCTACCCCATGTCTTTGCCTCCCTTGTCGCCTTCCGTGCGTTGATCTTAATCTGCTTTCTGCGTTTGCGGAACTGATCCGCGGTGCTCTTGATCTCCTTTTTCAATCTTTCGGTCGTTGTCCTTTTCTCCTGCTTAAGCAGTTTATCAAAATCCTTGTTAATTTTGATCTGTCTCCTGAGGTCCTCTTTCTCAATGAACCTTTGTGTCTTCCTGTACTCCCTTTTCGCTTTCCTCCGTCGCTTCTCCGTATCTTTTTTCGCCTGCTCCAAGGCATCGTACTTCATACTTTCAATAAGTTCGGACAAATGGTCTGAATATCGGAAATCGTTCGGACTTAAGCCCACAGTTTCCATTGTTTATATTAAGTAAAAATTTATCTGCGAAGTAAAACAAAAGTTGATTTTGTTTTTTTTTTTCCTTTTGGAGAAACAATCGTTCTGGAGAACCTTGCCTGTAGGGTAAAGCCAGAGTCAATTTCAAAATCCAAAGGATTTGGAAAAACAATGGACACAAAGGGCTTAAGTCCATAAGGCGTCCAAAGTTCTAGGACCTTCGGACGAAGTCCTTTTATTTATATTACAAAAAATTTGTCTTTAAAGTGTTGATTCTGCCGATTTTAATATCTTAAAATTATACCGCGAGACCTTCGAACATGTCCGATATCTCGTCAGTCTGACCATATAAAGCTTCCCGAACCTCAGCCTCCGCCTGCATTTCCTCCAGCATCTCCATCTCTCCTAACCGTGTCTCCGCCAAAATCTCCTCCTCCTCCGCGCCCTCGTCCTTTCCTCAGCCCTTTCCTCCATCCACTCCGTCCAGGACATACAGGTATAAAACCAATTATTTACAATATCCGTGGGTATGCCTAGATGAATCCTGTCCTTCGGACATTCAAGCCAGCAACCAATCACGTCGACGGATTCGGAAATGGTAATAAAAATAATACGCTTCAGACCTCCGCAAACGTAACCCACACCTCGAATTTTAGCGTCCCGACCCATCCATCAGTTTCCGAACTTAATACTATGTTTCGCTATCAAACCTCTTTCGCCTAAGGTCGAGATGACCGTCATGTCCTCATAGTTAGTATACTTACACATTCTTGCGATTCAATCCATCTTCTCTGGACAGTTGAAATATAATTGGACTTCGTTATTTGATCTTCCGAAACTCGTCATGATTGTTTTATTTGTATGTAGAAAAGCCTTGTCTTTAAATCGTTGATTCTGCCGATTTTAATGTAGGGAATACATTAAAATTATATCGTGTTTGATATCTCACCAATTTTTACCAAATAGAACATTTCGAGTCCCAGCCCTTACCGGTGTTTCAACCCATTCATTATTCTCATCCATTTCCTTCAAAAGTTTAGCGAACCTTGCATCTTCTTCACATTCACGTGTCCACCTTTCCTTGTCCGTTTCCTTAGCCCTTTCCACTTCGTGTACCGCTCTCATCTCTTCCAATCCCTCCATTAGCTCCGTCCAGGTTACAGAGTTAGGAAGCCAATCGTACACAATATCCGTAGGTTCACCTAGGTGAATTCTGTCCTCCGGACTTTCGAACCAGCAGTCGGTCACATCAATGGATTCGATACGAATACCCTTCGGACCTTCGGAATCGTAATTCACACCTTTAATTCCGGCGTCCTTTCCCATCCATCCTTTCCCAAATTTAATCCTGTGTTTCGCAATCAGATCTCTTTCGCTTATGGTTGAGTTGATGACCGTCATGTCCTCGTAGTTAGTATACTTACACATTCTCTCAATACGATCCATCTTCTCTGGACAGTTGAAATATAGCTGAACTCTGGTATTCGTTCTTCTGAAACGCATCATGTGATTGTTTTATTTGTATGTAGGAAAGCCTTGTCTATAAATTGTTGATTTCAAACTCAAATCTACTTGAGACCTACCTAAAATTATTTTGAGACACCCTTGACCAAAATTAAGGATCCTTAAAATCATTTTGAGACACCATTGAGCAAAATTAAGATCCTTAAAATTGTTTTGAGACACTTTCAAGCAAAATTTAAGATCACTTAGGTTTTACTTGGACCGCACTTAAATCTACTTAAAACTTACTTAAAATTATTTTTAGACACCCTTGAGCAAAATTAAGGATTCTTAAAATTATTTTGAGACACTTTTAAGCAAAATTAAGATCACTTAGGTTTTACTTGGACCATATTTAAAATTATTTTGAAACACTTTCAAGCAAAATTAAGAGTATTCGTCCCCTACAGCGTACACTGGTTTAAAGGAAAGTCGGATCTCTTCCCATTTTCATCAGAAATTTCGGATTTTTCGCTTTCTTAACCATCTTGCCAGGTCCCTACCTGGCGTGGGTGTAAGCGAAGCGTGGAAATGAGGATGTGTATATTTAAATTTTACTAAGTAAAATAAAACATGTCAGAGGACAACCCAAGTACGACTGCAGTGCCGGTCACAAATCCGGTGAAGACCCACGTCAAGGATCCGATAAAAGTGGAGGCAGGACGCAGGCTTGCCAAAATCAGTCAGGAGGCAAAAGCCAGGAAGCGCGCACAACGTGAAGCAATTAAGGAAGAGCAAAACGTTCCGGATGTGGGAAACAAATGTGAACAGCCAGATGGGGATACGGCGATTACCCTGGAGAGTCGGTATGGTGGTAGATATCACTGTGGGACTTGGATCCCTGTACATCATCATGTAGTGTAATCGTCGAGAAAAGAGCGGAAAAGCGGAGGAAAGCAAATCCGCAAAAAAAACGCAACCCGCACCAAAACCGCAGGGTGACCCAGACCTGTTCGACTGAACCGATACAAATAAACGTTTTGCCTATAATAAAACACAATGACCGACACAAAGAAGGAAGTGATCAACGAACTGTACGATGCCACACTACTGACGACCGGGGTCGTCGGAGTATCCTACCTTGCTAAAAAGGTTGCTGGAAAAAGTCTCGGTGCACCGATGACCTTGGAAGAAGTGACGAAGTTGGTTGTTTCCGTAGCCGGAAACGCATTTGCCATAGGATATCTGAAAGATAAGGAATATATTCCCAAAATGATTGATAAATAAACTAGGGATCCAAGGATAGTGTGAAGTTTCAAATTGAAAAAGACACTGCAAGAACTATATAGGGTTGCCGACAACCTAGAAAGGCTGATGGCTTACACTACGAAATAAACAGTTACCAAAGGCATTTCATGTCATTATCTATTTTATAATGCGTTCGGCACATGAGTAGCGCCACGTTTGAAACAAGCCTAACAGATCAGAAACGTGCCTCGTGGAACTGATACAATTTATTTATTTACTGTGATGTTACACGTGACAACTTGAAATTTAAATTGTTTCACCAACACCCAAATTTTGCATATTCTAAAACTTCATTTGCATTTGCAGCTGTCGCTAAAAGCATCCTAACGAGGCTACTGATACCCTGAACTTATTTAATATGATTATTCCCATCACCCAAATATAGCTGTATAAGATATGTTATGAATAATAAGCACTACGACGTTGTATCATTAAAAGAACGCATTTTATCCCCATCCGTTCTATATTTTATCCCCATATCCGTTCCGTGGATCCGCTCCATCCGCTTCCGCATTTTAACCTAATTGTGACACGTTTCACAATAACAAGTCTGATTGACCTCAATCTCGTTCCCCGAACGAGATTGGATTGACCTTTGACTTTATATTCCCAATGGCAATGTCACATTGCGTTTCATGAGTCATTTTCAGCTTTTCGCATGTATTCAATAATGTCACTTTAGATTTCAATAGTTTCACAGTTTTATAGCAGTGTTTATAGCAGTTTTAACAAGCTTTGATACGGCTCTGTGTACAGATTGATTCTCGTAAGATCTGGTAGAGTTATCGTTACACTGAACACGAGTTTGCACTGTTGACGTTGTGCTAGACAGTAAACAAAGTAAGTCCTTGACGGTACACGTTGGCTACCTCCTTGCTTTTTTCTTCTATTGCATAAAGCTTGTTGGCAAGCCAAGCGATTGGCGATAACACGTTGGCTATAACTCCTCGTCTTTCTTGTTTAAATAAAGAGCTCTGCAGACTCAACTGATTTCTTTTAGTCTCGATCACAACTCACAAGTTATTTTCTTCGTAAACGCCATACAAACACCCGCTTCTGTTTAATAGTTGTTTACGCTTTGTCTGATGCAAATTTCGCTCTTTGTACTGAGTGTAGCCATCTATTCTGTGGCGGTAGCACTTTATACAGTCAATGTGGCCAATGTATAATGAATACACGGCCTAAACAATACATCTTCTGGCACTTAATTGGGCGCCGGTAATGCATAACGTCATCAATTTACATATTGCGTAGAATCTGAAAGATTTTCTCAATATTCATGTCTGAAATGTTTATATATTTGAAAACAACACTCTCTCGCTCTTTCCTGCCTCTGTATAATGGGTATACCGTGAAAATAATATCGACACTCAATTGAATGCCTAGAATCTCAAAGATTTTCGACTCAATATTTACGTCTGAAATGTTTAATTAAATAATATATACACCTGAAAAAAGCACTGTCCTAGCTCCTTGCTAGCTCTGTAAAATGAATATACCGGTCTAAATAATATCGGCATTTAATTGAATGCATAACATCAATTTATATATTGCGTAGATTCTCGAAGATTTACTCAATATTCACGTCTGAAATGTTTATACATTTCAAAACAACACTGTCTCGCTCCTTCCTAGCATCGTCACGCCATCGTGATCTACGGCTTGATAGCGCATGCGCATTTGCGCTGCTAAAGAAAAAATCGGGTGTTCCGGGGTAAAGATCCTTTACACAACATGAGAAGCGCATGTTATAAAATTTACAATAACGACAACAATTCCTCGAATTTTTTGTAAACTTGGCAAAACTTGGCAAAAGGCCTAAAGAATATTTAAATAAGACAACTGAAATTGCCTAAATAACCTTCAAAGCACTGACTAAGTACAATAAATCACTACGAACATATATCGTATACACCCCCCCGGAAAGTTTACACTATTATGCCTGATCCCTGACT